GCGTGACAATTTGCCAAAATCAGGACCACTCCGATATGAATCTGCCATAGTGAATTTGGATAGTCGACATGGTCGAGGGACACATTGGGTAGAATACAGAAAAAGCAGCACTTCGGTGAAATACTGTGATAGTTTTGGTGATTCACCCCCTTCCAAAGAATTGATTTACTATTTTCGTGAGCGTTCAAATCCTATCAATACTATCACATATAACTATGAGCGTAGACAACAATTCAACACAGTATATGGTGTGGTCATTTGTGTTTGAAGTTTCTCCAGAATAAGACATGGAAATAACACCAGCACAGGGCAGGGAGAGTATTAAAAGGATGAGTCATTCATTGATCGCATATTCCAGAGTACGTACTTTAGAAAAAATGAGTAAAGAACAACTCGCTGAAATGCCCAAAGAGGTGTTGATTGGGTGTGCATCGCATGAAATTGTATCTGAATTAACACAAAACCTTCAAGATGATATTGATGTCTTCAAGTATCAGTACTGCCAAGACCATCATAATGATTTCAGTAGTAGTAGCAGTAATTCCGATGTGAATGATGGTCCACCTACAAAAAAAAATTCTGTTGTTTTTGTAAAGTGAGTGATGTGAATGTAGTCACACATAATTATATAGATAGAACACCCCAAAAACGACGATTATTCTACAATTTCTGCTGTCAGCAATATGAAGACACGAATCAGTAAAAATTAATCAGTCATGTCACGTAAGTTTTCATTGTCGTGATACTCTAGCGAGTTGAGCGCCAACTTCTAGCCACCCATCAAATTGGATACAAAAAATAATTATGGTCTGGGATTACATGGTTTCTACTCGTACAACTCCATATTCAATATAGATGCTAAGAATAATGTTATCAATAAATTGATGGATGTAGCAAATATAACGTAGTAGGAAATCATAATGAAGAAAAGAGAAATGAAACTTTCTATGTTTTTTACCACTTTTATTTGTGATTAGCGTTACTGCAGTTTCGTCCTATACGGACATATTCAAACTTATACAATAAACTTGAGTTTAGGGTTCGAAGCCGATGTGTTTGGCATCGATGAAACTCATGAATCAACATTGCTCGTAAATATCAATAAGGTGAGAATTATTCGTGTGGATTGTAGTGTCACAGCTGGAGCATATTCAAATGGGGATGAAATCCATAGCATCTTCGAATTTGATATCGATGTTGAGCCCGGATACAAACTTACTAATGGACCGCAAAATATAATTTACATGCCAATTCAACCTGGTGGTCGTCAGTACCTCTACAATATCACTTTACGCATATTTGATGATAATGGAAATCTAATCAATTTCAATGGTGAAAAAATAATAGTCAAATTGGAATTGATAAAACTATAACATTCATCATTTATGATAAGATGATTCACAACATCAACGACCGTCATTAGTGTATCATTAAATTGGGTAAAGGCAGCTTCGATAAGTTTGGTCGCAGAAGTGAGGCTATTTCAGATACTGTTTTGCGAGGATCACTTGGACTCGGTTTCAAATTGGCTTCCGATGGAAACTTCGATATGGAAAATAAACGTTTGAAAAATATAGCGGAGCCTGAACAAAGTACGGATTGTGTTATTCGTGGATATGTTGGCTTTCACATCTCAAAGATGAAAGAAGAATCAGATTCTGATATTGATAAAATAATTTGAAATTAGAAAGAGTTAAAAAACATTCCTCATTAGTCAGAAAGCATTTCATTACGCTCGGACTGAAATTAGCAGAATTTGTGAAAAAGTGTGAGCATATAGAAAAGGATATCAAAGCGATGCAATCTGATTTGGAAAATAAACCCTCGATAAGCATTCAAACAATTGAGAAAAAACAATGGTGACCGATGATCATCTGTGAAAAAAAATCAGTATAAAGCTGGAGTTGATGAAATTGTAACTCAGCATTTATTACTTCCTGGCATTGAGCAGATGATAATCATTGTTAAAGCTATAAACTCGACGATTATTGTTTTTGGAAAATGGGGTTGTGCTTCAATAGCCAACGATTGCAGCAATGGCAGCAGTTGAATCATCGTAATGCATTTGGTGATCATATGCATTTGAGGAAGAGAACATCTAAAAGTCGATTCATTCCACGTAGGTCTACCGAACAGTCGAGATATAGAATAAGTGCTAGTAGTCTGAACTTCCTCAAATCCATTGGCTTGAAGGTACGATATAAAAAATAGTAATACCATGACGAAAACCACCACGAGTGATGAATTGGAGGTATTCGAGGAGCCCATGTTCGATTATATGTATGTTCATCAGCCTTGATGAACATACATATAAACCATATGGATCACTATATTACAAAAATTCAGATAAAATATGAATCCCAATCAATTTTCAAGACCTTATACTCGATATTGCAGACAGTTACATTTATACCGAGGGAAAGTTCACACCATCTGATGCCACGAAACAGTGCTACCTATCCAGTAACGCCATCGTCTTTCTCTTTGACGAAATTTTCTATGAAAATGGGTGGTGAACAAGTGGCAGTTATTCGAAAACCCGGCATTACTACCTCAATGAAAACGATGATATCATTCGGACAAATGCATGCAAATAACCGATAGGATGAGGTCTTGATGTGAATAAACTAGATTCATTCGATCCCGTCACCAATGTATTCATGGGCTTTGCTAAAGATTACAATAAAGGAATAATGAATGTAAAGCAGGAGCTCATTTCGATTATAGCACGCTCATTCGAAAATTCATTCATCGGAGAAGTCGATGCAGATTTTGAAATCAGTAAAATATAATGGAGAATCAGAAACATTGTGCCGGAAGATCGACAAAAACTGAAACTAGTGAATCGCATAATTAAAAATGGTAATAATGCTAAGGTGAAGGTGGCTTTTTATGAATTACCCACACTTCGTTATACATCCTCAGATATATGAGGCGTGAAGACAACCAACAGTTTCGAAAGACCTCGATACATCATCATCGGCTTTCAAAACACCGACCAATCCGAAAATATATCAAAAGATGTAACGAAATTCATACATGTGAATATTAATAATTTTTGATTATCTCTGAACTCTGAAGTATACCCATATGAGCGTTGGAATCTGAATTTTGACAAGAAGTTAAACTCATCAGCCTACTATGCATATGAAAACTTCCAACGCAGCTACTACGATAAAGCTATGAGTGAACTGATGATCGATATTGGTAACTTTCGTAATAATCCACTATTCATCATCGACTGCTCCCATTAACCGAAAGCTATGAAGTCATCCACTATCGACATCAAAATAGAATTCGAAACACGCAAGGAGAAGTTTCCTGCAAACACCAAAGTATATGCACTCATCCTCCACAGTGCTGTTCTATCTTATAGGAGTGTAATAATATTGACATGTAATTCACTATGATATATATTCGATATTGATAAATAATAAAACAATCAATGAATAGTTTCTGTATTTTAAACATCAAACACTTATTATTTTTCAGGTTATCGCATATGTGTGTGGTTTAGAACGATGAAAATGTTTTTTGTTGTATTAAATACCTTGTATTCATTCAGGAAAAATATTCATGCTGTTGTTTCAACAACATAAAGTAACACTTGACTTACTTGAAAATGGCCTTATAAGCCGAAACCGGTCGTAACGAATAAATAAACACAGTAGAAACTAGACAAAAGTATTTTCTTTTTTCTATATTCAACATGAATTTCTACAAAATAAATAAGTCATCAATCGAACGAGGTACATAGATATTCATGTACCATTGACAATGAATGTAGAGCATTTATATACACAAGTATATAGGAGTGGAACCGCTATCGACAACTTCTACAACTACGAACCATAAGTGCCCCGAATCGAGTACATCGCACCCCTTGATGTCAAAGTGTCAGAAGTGGCACTGCAATACATCCTTGCAAAAGTGGATCCTCGTACGAATCACGGCAACCGTCTGCTCAGCGAGCAAGTGTAAAATGCCAATCGCTAGGCGGAAAGTATGTTTCGATCTTAAAATTACCTTCGGGGGAGTATTGTGCATACTTTCACAACTGGCTCCCATTGCGTACCTAACGCTTTGATCGATTGATCGTATAATGACAAAAATTTCCATCACCCCAATCCCAAGTCAGTCTATGAGGTTTCATTCAAGGTCACTCAAGCTCAAGGTCATGTACCAAGGAAAAAGTCGATCGTCAAGGTCGAAATCCATACTCGAAGTCATATGACGTTGGCTCACTCCAAGGCGTTAATTCACCCTTCGAAGCTTGATTCCAAACAGTTGTTGGACTACAGTAGGGATGAACTACGATGTCTAACAGGCCTTCTTACAGGTCACTGTGCCTGCCCCGAATCAGGTTCTTTGAGTTCGGCAGATCCGTACTCTCACCATCTGACCTGAAAGACCACTAAACATAGAAACTAATCGGCTTCGTTAAGAAGCTGGGTTTATTTGATCAAGTGTGGATATGTGTGAGCCACAATAAACCCTTTTGGGTTGCAGTTGAGGGTCGAATAAATCCAATCACTTCAGACCTACCTACCTACCATAAGACGTGTTCATAGCTCAAGGTCGTTAAATGACCTTAAGGGGATTATTGTGCATCCTCTCACCGCTGGCTCCTATTGCGAACTGAATGCTTTGATGGATTGATCACATAATGACTCAGACCCCAACCACCCCAATTCAAGTAAATCTATGAGGTTTCATTCAAGATCACTCGAGGTCATGTATCAAGAACAAATTCCATCGTCAAGGTCGAACTTCATGCTCAAGGTCATATGACGTGCTCATTGCTCAAGGTCGTATGGCGACATTCAAGGTCACGGCCAAGTGGTGGGGGGATGTTCCGAAATCGGCTTGAATCAACTACTTAGATGACTTTGTAAAAGCTATTTTCCGAAACTGTTAGCTGCTCCACAATAGAATGACCATCATCAATTAGGTTGTGTGACAATCTTGCGAAAATGTAATTATTTGACGTTTAAATTTTAGGTTATGATCTTTTAGCGGGAATGGTGTGAAAAATTAATTTGAAAATAATCATAAGAAATTATTGAAATAATAAAAAACAGAAATGGACGATTATCCAAATCCAGATGAAGAATTTGAATTAATGTATGGCGATGAACTAGATATATTGAGGGAACAAGAAGATGGTTAGCATAATAAATTGTTTTGCTCTGTTACTTTATTTTATCAATTTTAGAATATTACCAACCTCCCTCTAAAACTAGAAGAAGCCTAGATTTTTCTTCTACAGCTACAGAAAAGCAGCCACCAGCTACTAATTCCCAGAGCGTTGAAACATTCGAAAAAGAATTTCCCACCCTTTCATCTCTAGCTCACTCTTCGGAAATTTCCTCAGTTTCTAACACTGAAGAAATTATACAGTCATTGGGTACCAGTTCCCAAATAATTTCCTCATCTTCCCATAATGTTGAGCCTTCCAGCAGTAGAAAGAGAACAGTAGAGGAACTATTTGGAGACATCAACGATTTAGGTGATGACATTTTATTGGATGATCAGCCTTTCATTAAAAAATCAAAGAGAAGCGAGGAAGAAGAACTAGAGGCTCTTATGGAACAGATAATTGAACTGAGGAGATTGAATAAGGAAAAAAATAATATTATCGGTGTCCGAACAAATTCAGCTACTTTTAACAGACAACGTGATATGAATAATATTTCTTTTAGAGTACCAAAATACCCGTTCATTGGTGTGAAAAGGTTTGATGGTGAAAGAGTATATGTGAGATTCCATTCAGAGGAATATGAGAAGGAAGAGATCCAGAGAATTGTTAAAGAATGTTCTACGAAGAGTGTGATGGATGATAGTTCTAAACAGATGTGGGAGGATGCTAGAGCTTTGGTAATAATTTTTATTATTCAGTTATCTTCTGAATGCAATGTTTGTCAAGCTCAGCTAGCAATAAATTCTGGGTTGATATTAAGCAAAAAAATAATATGCCAGTCTTTATATAAATGTAAATATTATTTCAACCCCATAAAAAGAGTATTACTACCCGACTAGACTAACACAAATTTATTCCCGAAATGAAAAGAAATATAAACACTTTTATGAATGAAATATGTAGTCAGTTATAAATGCAATCATAGTTGCATAAGTCAAACTGATGAAGCTACTGTGTAGCAAAATGCCTCTTAAATCTACTCACTAGATTTGAGTTTGTTCGACTGTGTCTTTTCTTAACTGAAAAATGATAAAAAGATCCTGAACTTCCGTCCGTTGAAGAGGTGGTAGAAGTTGTGGAGTTATATATTTAATATATCTTGCAGTACATATTTGTACTGAATTTGTAGTTCATGTTTGTCGGAGGTCTATAATTTTGCTTTATGAAGAATGTTTTGATGAGAATTGGAAATGTTTCTTCTTTCATTCCATCAAAATTGAAACAGTACATGGGAAAAACAAAATTTTCATGTATGAAATTTTACCAAGAAGTAAATTTGTTTTTTTTTTCAGATAGAAAAACAAGTAGTGTTAGCCTCACAAGAAACAGATAGGAATGATGTTATGATGGTGGAGGGAAAAACAGATGATCATCAACAACTTTGGACTGACTTATACAAGCCTCGTAAATATGTAGAACTATTGAGTGATGAAAGTACAAACAGAATTATGTTGAAGTGGTTGAAACTTTGGGATAAGGTTGTCTTTAATAGAAAACCAAAAATTCATCCAATCAAACCAGATGACACAAAAAGTAAATTCAACATGGAGAAAGAACTCAATAGGAGTCTTGATGAACATGGAAGACCTCATCATAAAGTGGCTTTATTATGTGGACCTCCTGGTTTAGGTAAAATACAACATAATCCTGATAATTTTGAAATTTCATTCACAATTATTACAATCGTTATCCAAAATGATCTTATTTTTGTAATCCCAGAATAATATCTTATCATCAAAAAATTTAGTGACATATTTTGATCACAGAAGTATAGTCAACGCCAACTAAAATGAGTCAGTGTAGAAACGTAAAATCGTTCTGTGTTGAAAGACTCCGCCCACTTAAGTCATATTTCGCATTGTCAGTAGCACGATAGCCAGAAGTAAATAGTAACACGTTAAATTATAAGTTGAGTCGTGAGTGAAGTTATGAGTTAGTAAGTCAATTTTATAATTTTAAAATTAGTGAAAAAAAAACGTGTAATCTTCAATATGTATAATTACTTTAAAAGTAGAAAGGGTGAATGAACACTTTGTTAATGGTTAAAAGTAAAACATAACAAGCAACAGGTAAATAATTTTAAATGACATTCCAATGATATTTATTAAATTTAGGGTAACCAATTCTTTGATTCTTGAATTTATATTAAATAACTATTAGACAAACATTAACCATCACATAAACATATTTTTTCAATAAATAGCCAATCACATTTGAATAATTTGTAAAAATTGATGAGGGAACGGGAAATCTCTTTTTCTGATTTATTGCTTCCATATTTGTCCCTAGATCGAATATTTCAAAATGTGTCCATTGTATACTAATTATTGAGTTGTTTTTTATTTTTCCTGAAAATCTTTGTTCCATAAGTTATTCAGGGTAAAGTTATTCAGGGTGGCTCGTTTTCATCTCAAATAATTTGTAACACCCGAACCATAAGCTTCAGACCATATGTTTTATACTTTGTTAAAATCTGCTCATCATGGAGCATCTGATAATGCGAAACAATATAGAGTCTTCTTGATAAAAAAAAATGCAATCACTACTTTAGATTTCATCCCTGTGATAAACATTCTTGTTTTTTGGGATTATTGAAGATCATTATTATTATATTTCAATTTCTTGGACGTTTCTGCAAAGTATGCCAGTATTTACTGAAATGAATTCCACTTTTCTAGGTAAAACAACTTTAGCTCACGTGGCAGCGAAGCATGCAGGTTACAACGTCGTTGAAATAAATGCTTCTGATGATCGTAGCACCGAAGCCTTCAAAACCTCCTTGAAAAATGCCACACAGATGCGTTCAGTCGTAGACAGCGAAGGACGCCCAAATTGTCTTGTCTTTGATGAAATAGATGGAGCTCCTCAGGCATCTATAGACTTCCTTGTGAAATTTATAAATGGCACAGTTAGTGCGAAAGCCAAAAAAGGAAAAGGTGCCAAACAGTTTATCCTCAAGAGGCCTATTATTTGTATTTGTAACGACGTGTATGTACCGGCCTTGAGACCGTTGAGGCAAATAGCTTTTGTTATCAATTTTCCTCAAACATCAAGTGCTAGACTAGCAGATAGACTGATGTGTATAGCAAGAAGGGAGAACATAAAAACTGACCTGGGAGCGATGTTGGCATTAGCGGAAAAGGGGAACAAGGACATAAGATCTTGCTTGTCTGTTTTATACTTTTTCAAAATACAGAAGAAACCTGTTACCTTATCTGATGTTTACAAATCAAATATTGGTCAGAAGGATATACAGAAAGGTAGGAGTTCATTCAAATATCATTTTTCGAAAGAACAAAGTCTGAGAAAACCTTTTTTTGGCAATTTATATATTTTTGAGAAAGTGAAACGAAAGGAAGTTTGAAATGAAAAATTTGGTTGGACATTTTTTATTTCTCTAGCGGATTATAATAATAATCCGCTAATATAATTATATATCTTGTTTTATGAAAGTACCAGGTCTGTTCAAAAATTAGGTGAATGTTCAAATTTTGCGGGCTACGTACATTTGATTAGCGATTTTTAAAATTTGTATGTTGCTACACTCGTCTCGAACATATATTCACAGTTTCAGGTGTCTAACATGTTTAGTTTGTTGGTGAGCGGCATCAAATTTAAAAGTGTTTTTCGTGTTTAACGATTTTCTACTATCGAAAAAATTGATCAAATCGAATTTTGTGTAAAAAATGGAATCAAGTACAAATGGTACAAGCTTTTCATGAAAGGTCGAGAAGATGTGAATGACGACGCTCCCCCTTGACGTTCGCCTTTGACGCCTACTACACTGACAATACAGCACAAACACTTTAAATGGAACTACAGACTAATATTAAAATGTCTATTGTCTATTAGATCACTTTGTACCGCACTTTCAACCAGACTTTCCCGATCTGCTTGTTAGTACTGTTTATATATCGAAATGGAAGTCTCTAGAAGCCGATACGGAAAGTCTTCAGAAGTTTCTTGAAGCGACTATATCTACACTCGTCTCGAACATATATTCACAGTTTCAGGTGTCCAACATGTTTAGTTTGTTGGTGAGCGGCATCAAATTTAAAAGTGTTTTTCGTGTTTAACGATTTTCTACTATCGAAAAAATGGATCAAATCGAATTTTGTGTACCGCACTTTCAACTAGACTTTCCCGATCTGCTTGTTAGTACTGTTTATATATCGTAATGGAAGTCTCTAGAAGCCGATAGGAAAGTCTTTGTAAATTTCTTGAAGCGACTATATCTAGAACGGTCGAGAAACACAATAATAGAGTTGAGTGCGACCTTGGCCAAGCCACAATCGATCGACGAAGACCAGCGGCGGCTGGCGTTTTTTTTCCCGGGGGATAATCTACAAGAATATAATTAATTTTTCAGATTGAGCAGTTTCTTTTGTTTATTTCTTTGTTTGAGTCTCAGTGAATGGTTATTGATGGCAATTTCTCATTGTTCCAGGTCTTTTCGCAGTTTGGCAAGAAATTTTTCGCATCGAAAAACCCAAATTGAAATCTGTGACAGATTTGAAATCTTTGGACAGCAAACAGATTACGAAAGATAGAATGTCAAAAGTTTTGCAAACTGTTTCGTCATTTGGCGACTACGACAGGCTGTCGCAGGGAGTTTTTGAAAACTTTCCAAAGCTGAAATTGAAAGATCCTTCTATGAATGGTGTCAGCGAGGCTTTGAATTGGTTTGTTTTCAGCGATTTGCTCAACAAACAAATATACTCGTTGCAGAATTATAGTTTGAGTTCGTACTTGCCTTACGCTTTCGTTGTTTGGAATTTTGTTTTTGCAACTCCTCAGAGCCAAACGTTGCAGTATCCCAGTGTTGGGTATGAGGTGAGTTTCCAATTTAAAAAAAATAGAAGAACTGTAAAAAGACTTTTAATTCAACAACTATTTATTCTTGAAAATTTCTGATTCAATAATTTACCTATTTGTTTGTGTAGTTCACTTTTCTTACACAATTGATTATAATTTCTCTCTCTAACAATAATCACTCAGTATGTGTTGTTTGATAACTTATCTTTTATCACAGTGACACCTTGAAACTATTTCAATAATATGTTTACTTTTTGATTTTGAAATGTGAGTATTTGTTACAACTATGTACGGGTTCTTCAATACTAAATGGTAGGCTTAATCAAACTTGATGACTTTATATAATAAATGACAGTGCGATTCAACACCATCGACACATACAATTGTCTGTTTTTCCGTTAACTAGCTGTCGCACCCCTACGAACGACAACCCTCAAAAGTCGAAACTTGTGCGAGCTAAGGATTAACGAGGTCTTACCTTTTAACGTGTGATTCCTAACACGGGTTGGACGGTAGCAAGTGAAGATTGATCGTTCAGACTAGGGCTTGAACCACCGACCAACACGGCAGTCAATTCGAATGAGTGAACAAAGCACCCACGCCGAACCGCTTGGCTACCGACCGACCGGTCGGTCGGTTATTTCACTCGTTCACTTGTCGCTTTTCTTGTTCTCGGAGATAATGTTTTCTATCTAATCTCCAAACTACTATGGAACTATTCTGATACTTCTGATTTCCAAAACGGTACTTTTACTATTATTGATATCTGGGAAACGGCAAGACCTACAATGTCGGTTAAATTGGGGAACTGGAATAATCTCTTTTCAGATTGAGAATATCTGTGGTTGTTTTTGGAATATTTCCCAAAAACTAGAATTACAATGTAGGCAAGAACGTGGCGGCAGTATTCTGTGATATGACTAAAGCTCTTGATTGTGTCAATCATACATTATTATTGCAGAAACTCATTATGGTATAAGAGACATGGCCCTGAAGTGCACGAAATCATATTCGAAAGGACGAAACCAACTGGTTAAAACTAACCATACATCCGGATTATGAAACGTTGGTTGGGGAGTACCCCAAGGATCAGTTTTAAATCCATATCTACTTCTCCTGTATATAAATGATCTTTCCCTCTTAGATATATCTGGCCCCTTCACTTTATTTGCCGACGACAATAACATTCTATAACACTCTGAAGATGTAAATTTGCTTCGAAAATTGTTACAAGAGACCAACAAAAAATCATGTCTTGGTGCGATGCAAATTTTCTTCCGGATATAGAATTAGGAGCTGACTCTATACTATCTGACAGCAATATAAAACTCTTGGAACTTAACATAGATACCAATTTGAAATTCACAAATCACATCAACATGCTAAACAAAAAATTATCATCTGGCTGTTTTGCCCTCAGGTCTACAGCTAAAGAGTTAGGTTATGCTGCAGCAAAAAATGGCTATTTTGCTCTCATTGAGTCAAACTTGAGGTGCGTAATCCAGTTCTGGGGTTCGTGTAGTAATGAACTCTTTAAGAACACATTTTTACTGCAAAAGCGAGCGGTGCGGTATTTGTGCCAAGTAAATAGGTTGACTTTCTGCAAACCCCTTTTCCTGAAACACAGAATACTGACATTAACCTCAATCTACGTTTCAGAAGCTACATGTCTGATTTACAAGAATAAATCTTTATATGAAAAAAATAATTGCACTGCATGAAATGCAATGAATTTATCATTATTCATCCCTAAACCCACACTGATCAAAGACTCAATAATTTACGTCAGATATAAAGAACATGGATTCTCTAATATGAATCATCTTCTGAGCAAGTACTGAAATAAATAGATTTGTTCAATGTGAGCCATGAATTAGGTTAGGTTACGTCCAAAGTAAGTGGGTCTATTCAACCCTCCACCGCAACCCGCAAGGATTTATTGTGGCTCACACCTATTCACACTCGACCAAATAAACCCAGCTTCTCAACGACGCCGATTAGTTTGTAAGGTGAGTGGTCTTTCAGGTCAGATGGTTAACATAATATGTATAATTGTCATCTCTGTCAAATACGTCCCGACACGAATTCGTGTGAATTTGTGACGGGAAAACTATGAATTTTTCTAATGATGAGAAAGTTAATGCCTTTCGTGTACACGATATGTTTGGGAAATGCTACTAGATCTCTAGCTTTGTATGAGGAATTATACCCTGAGTGACGTCAGTCATCCAAAAGATATTTTCAAAACATTGAGAGGAGTTTACGGAATCATGGTTCATTTGAAAAACCCTCGAGTAAGAGGTGTACAAACTGAAAAGTGTGGTGATACTAAAATTGGCGTTTTGGGTAAGTTCAGAAGACATTCTAAACTATAATAAAGTGATATTATTTCGATTCAGGATTTGTGGAATACCGAACAATTGAAAACAAAGAAGTATCATTGAGAGACATTGCAAATCATAGTGTTATATCGACTATGTCAGTTGAAAACATTTTTTTGAAGAAATAAATATAGACATCGCAAAGTCAGAAAAATCCACCATTTGCATTTACAGGAAACTAATAGGAGGGAATATTTTGTAGACAACATCGTCAGGAAATCTGTAATAAAATTTTATGGTGTGACGGGAGTAGATTCACAAATAAATGATGGTTTAACAGAAATATCCATTATCACTGGCGAGAAGAAAATTCCTTCTTACATAGAGCAATAAATTTGCAAGAGAGATTTGGAGTTAATGTTTAGGTTGATGTGCTAGACACCAAGATTATAGCACCCTACTTTTTTGAGACATTTTTGAGGTGGGAATTATATTTGGAATTCTTGTCGGAGGCTCGTTCACCTGACCTGACCCTTCTGGACTTTTCACTCCGTGGGGCTCCATTGAAGACAAGGTATTCAGCTCAACTTCTAGCAACATTGACAAATCGAAAGAAACAATAAGGAGGGCTTACATGGCTATAACCCCAAAAATGCTGGAAAATGTCCATAAAAATACTATTCAAGAGCGAATAGTGTTTGAGGAACGATGGACGGCAATTTGAAAATTCAATAAGATATCGTGATCAATGTAAATGATCAGGAGTATTTTAACATTGTGGTACATTTATGATGCTGTCACATGGTTATTAGTCTCATACCGATACTGTCATTCTGGTTAAAGTCATCTGTTTCATAAAATATTTCTGAACTGACATTTTCTAAGACACTTTTATAAAGAGGCTGTTCTTTCTACCATTCCTACCATTGTCAATAAACAACCAAGTCAGCAGTCAAATGGAAAAAACTAGAAATTAAACATCCTACTATACCGTACAATACAGACATTATATACACCAATATTCAGAGTTTACCAGCGAATTATGACCAATTAGTTCACGATATAGTTCGTTGTCGTCCTTCAATTATATTNACACGAGATATAATTAAAAAAAAAAGAATAACTTCGTACGTGCGTACATAAGTGTAACACACTCTTTTTTCTTTTTAATTGTGTATGTTCAATTTGTCAATTCATTTTTTCCTGTGTAGGGATCTATTCACGCAATGTCTATTATAGGTTACCACATTCCTTGGTTGGATGGAAGAGCAAGATCTGCCTGTTTTTGTGGCATGGTTAGGAATTGAATCTTGCCATTTGCTAGGTCTAGGTATTATCTTGTTATCATTTGTAATTTTTTTCCTGTCAATGAAATCCATTATTATTAATATAGGTGAAATAATTTTTGAAATCGGTTGAATAGTTTTTGTTATTTCATTACGAAGAAAACATCTTTTTTCTTTAGATTAGTAGTGCAGATAATAATTAAATAATTTTCATAAATATATTTCATTTCCAGACGCAAGGAAGCTACGGTGTTAGCGAAACAGTTATTAATTTTGATCAAGTTACGGGTTAGTCCATTCACATCAGTTCAGATTAATGTTTAATTTCCCCAGTGAAAAATATTCCCTGTTATTTCTTGGGATTACAATGATAAAGTCCCAGAGAATGCTACTAAACGAGTCAGTCAATTAATTTCGTGAGTGTATTTGAGCAGATTATGTATCGAAGTTAATGTATGATTATTACTTCAAAATTATTTTTGTATATTGAAAAACAAAAATCAAAACGGTCTACGATTCGCCACCCTATCTAGCCTGTGCCCTAACTATGTGGACTGTTAAAAAATAAGGCGAATGTTCAAATTTCGCGGGCTATGTACATTCGATTAGCGATTTTTAAATTTTTTTATCTTGGTCTCCAACATCTGTTCACTGTTTTAGCTGTTTAGCATATTCAGTTTGTTGGTGAGAGNCTCCAAATTATTTTTGACGTACTTAAAAAGTGCGCAAATGAACTCGCACCAGTATTCTGCAGACTTTTCAACCTGTCTTATAAAGAAAAGGGTTTTTCCTTTTTGTTGGAAGATTGGTCGCGTTCAGCCTATTTCCAAGAAGGACAAGAAAAACCTTCCAAATGACTATAGACCAGTTGCTTGATATCAGTGATATCAAAAATCATGGAGAAAGTCGTAAACCACCATATCCCCAAACATTTGGAAGGCTTCAACATCTTTAGCGGCCATCAATATGGCTTTCGGAAACAAAGATCAACTGGCGACCTTCTATCGTATGTCATCCATATTTAGAATAACGCAATCGAAAAACATGGAGAATCAAGAGCTGTTGCGCTTGATATTTCTAAGGCCTTTGACCATGAGTGGCATGAGGGTTTGCTGGCCAATGCTATGGCTTGGTGGATCATTTTTGTGTATGGCTCTTCAGCTCCCTGCAAGTGGCCGTCAATGGATATCTCTTGAATACTTTCACCATCAACGCTGGTGTTCCCCAGGGATCTATATATTGTATCCAACCTCTCTTTTTATTGTATATCAACGACTTATTGGAAAAAAACCAAGAATCCAATATATTGCTTTGCTGACGACATCACACTTGTCTCGTCATTCTATTTGGATTACAGGACATCGTCTACGGAGGCACATCTTTACCGGCAGCAGGAGATTGCATATGTTATGAAGATCTATAAGTGATTTTGAATTGGGGTGAAAGTAACCAGGTTCAATTCAATGCCACAAAAACCCAGGTATTGGTTTTCTCCAAGAAGATAAATGTCTTCGAACCCGATATGATAATGTCAGGTCAGACGAATCCGCTTTCTGCTTCGATAAGTCTGTTGGGGGTCAAAATGGACACCAATATGTCTTGGCACAATCATTTCACTGGAATTACAAATCAAAATCAAATCAAAATCAAAAATATGTTATTATACATTTGTCTTTAACAATGTAAGGTCTACTGTACAGAATATTTACAATATTTACATCTATCCCACATACGGGAGTGATAGGAGGAAGGGAAAAGGATTGGTGAAGAAAAAGGGAGGATCAGCAGGATGAGACTTCAATATTGAGCCCCAAGACGTCCGCAAAGTACAGCGCCGCCTCATAGACCCACGACAGTGGGTCTATGAGGCGGTCTATGAGTGTTAACGAGTGGCTCAATGCCCAACAGAGCCTCATCTCAGCTTTTAGTCTAAGACTTCCCGTTTCCTGCCAAAGCTTAAGCGAGATTTCTCTTGGTGTTGCGATTGCAGTACCTCATGTCTGGATATACTAGATGGGTGTTGCAGGCTGCTTCTCAAAAGCTTGGAACTCTAATCCTACTCAGGAAACTGTACACGCCTCAGCAACTTTTCATGCTTTATAAAGCTCAGATCAGGCCTTTGGAGTATTGTTCTCATGTATGGAGCCCTGCCCCCAAACATTCCCTGAAGTTGCTGGATTCCATCCAGAATAGAGAATATCACTGCAATCTTGATAGCCTGGAACATGGAAGAAAGTTTGGAAATTTGTCTCTCTTCTATAGATATTTTCACGAGAAATGTTCAAGTGACTTGGCACATTTGATTCCACCAAGAGCGGTACATATCAGAAATACGCGACGGAAATTATATTTGGAGGGGACAAAATAGAAATTGATTAATAAATCAATAGTTTTTGTGAAACTTCACTTTTTTTTTTCAAGACACAGCTTACATTTCTGTCCGACCCTGCAAATTTTCACTGTACTAAACTTCTTTCAGAGCCCGGGTGTTTTGTTTCAGTGAGATTTTTTAATCACAGCCTCACAATTTACTAAACACACAAGCACGTTAATTACTGTGCCCGTATTGGATGATGCTCTTTCAGAATGTAACGAAGGTTGCTACATTATTCAAGACATCATTAAGAAATGAATTGAAATCTCACTTGTTTTAATGAAGGTACGGAGAGTGTCTAGATTCGAGTTGGAATGAATGTGTTTCGTCAAGGTTTGCGAATCTTTTTCTGAAAAAGCAGGGAAAGCAAGAGTTTCCACTTGTAGAACGGATTATTTTTCCCAAGTTACTAAATGTACACTTATGAATCATTCTTTAGTTTATTTGTTTTTTTTCTATGTCTATTGAAAAAGAGTCAATTATATAATCATTTCTTGATGGGTAAGTAAATAGAAGTTCTAACTTTTCAGACATCAATTGTCAACCACCTTCAAACAAACGTCAAATAGAAAAATGTTATCATGTCTGCGTTGCTGTCAAAACAGGTAGTCGAGCAAACACATGTAGTGGCAGCAACGCAGGTAAATGGGAACATCCATCTCTATGAATTGAGACACAGAGTTCGAATTAATTAGTCTAGTTGAAAAACTCCAGATATCACCAGAAGATGGCATGACTTTGCCGAAACGTTGTGAGAATAATCCTTATGAGAATAAAATACACAGAACACGGAGTGAAACCTTTGCTGGTTAAATGATCTCTATGACAAAGAAAGTGAGTTTCAATGTCTCAAAAACTAAAGTTTTATCCTTAAATTGCATTCTTGATAATATTCCTCTAGCTTCGAATTGGAATGTGATTGAGAACACGTCATACAACAAATTTCTTGGGTTATTAATTGATAATAAATTGAAATTTGAGGACCACATACTATCTCGTATCAAAAAACTTTCATCTGGATGTTATGCTGTGAAAATAACTTCTAACGAACTAGGACTAACTGCAGCTAAAACTGTCTATTATTCATTAGTAGAATCACATCTAAGATATGGGATCCCTTTCTGGGGGGTAAGTAATCAAACTCGACTCGAGTCGATTTTTATTCTGCAGAAAAGGTCATTAAGATTTCTCTGTAGAGCTAGGCGGCGAGATTCTTGTAGGACTTTGTTTGTAGCAAACAA